TTAAGAGTCTCAAGAATTCTTCCCGTGGCACCCAGGAAGGAAGGACTCAGGCTAAAGAGAGAGGAGGGTCGGCTCCAAATCTCAGAAACCCCAGTAGCCCTCTTTTCTGCTCCCTGGAGCCTCACGAGATCTCACTCACGCTGTCCCTGCCTTCTCTGGGTTCCCCGCCTGCCGGGTGGTCTGACAGGGCTTCAGCCTCGGACTGCGCCCATTAGGTGGGTCAGCACCTGTGCCCTGGGGGCTGTCTCCTCTGTCAAGCTCGCTGGTACTTGGGTGAATGAGTGGCTAGCCAGGTTTTGCAGTAACTGCAACCCCAGCGTCTGCAGCTCCAGGTGAACACCCAGCCCCCTAAACACGAGGCCCTGGGCTAGCACGGAAGCTGGCCATCCCAAAGGCCGTCACCACGGTAGTCCCAACCGGACCAACCACGCCTACAGGGTTCCTCCGGCCCCCATGCTTCAGCGCCAAGGCCGCGTGCTCCCTCCCGCGCGCTGCTGATTCGCCACGGCACCGGGACCACGAGCCCCGTTCTGTGTCAGCCTAGGGCAGTTGTAGTTCGAGTCCCGGAGCTCACGTGGAACTAGCAAGGATATTTAGAGTTTCTGGGTCTGAAGCCTACGAGAAGCTCGGGATGAATCCGCGGAGGGCCGGCGCGCTGGTGACCGCAGCATCTGCGCCTGCGCAAGAGGAAGAAGAGGCGTGGCCTAAGAGACTGGGAAGGGTAAAGCCTGGGTAGGTGTGTCCACCTCTTTCCTCCCCGGTAGCTGCTGTTTTCTCTCTCCCCAGCAGTCTTACCTAGCTCGCTTGGGTCCGGCGACTTTCCACTGTAGAGCTGGGCTTCTTGAGGACGACACTAACCCTCAGTTGGGACTGTCAAGGAAACGAGACAAGTTGTGATGCTGATGCTTGCGGTGGGCACACAAGGCTGCATTGTTTAATGAGAACCCACAAACCACTTGCAAACTACCTTAAATGAAGCATCGCTGATTAAGTAGCCTCCCAGGGGCCCTGGCAGAAGTATGGAACATTCCATCATGGAAGAACTTTTCTTGACCACCCTGATCCGAAAGATATGCTAAGGTAGCAACACTTCAACAGGACCGAGTATGGGTGGAAATCTGGGCGATATGTATTTGTTTAACAACGTCAGGCAAATTTACCCTTCCTGAGGAGGAAATGAAGAACTAAGTACCCATTCGGGACTCAGCAGTTAAGAGCACACACTGGCAGGGCAATGGTGGCATAGGCCTTTAATCGCGGCAGAGGCAGAAGTAAAGGCAGAGGCAGGCGAATCTCTTGAGTTTGGGGCCAACCTGGTCTACAGAGCTAGTTCCAGGACAGCCAGGACTGTTATATAGAGAAATCTTGTATGGGAAAACCAAAAGAGGAAAAAAAAAAAAGTGTATATTGGGAGCTGGGTGATATCTCAGAGCTTAAAGGTACTTGCTGCTCTTCCAAAGGTCCCAAATTCAGTTCCCAGCACCCATGGAAGTGTTGCTAATCAGCTGGCCAGAATCTGTTTGCTCTACACAGATAAAAAAGAACTGTGGGTAGTCAAAGATAAACTTTTCAAGTGCTACCTTTCTTTTCCCTCAGTGTTTGACCTTAGGGAGAGGCGGCAGCTGGCCCCTCTTAGTGTTAGGGGCCTAGAGGCATTGTGTATCTTAAACCTATAAGTATTCTAGCTCTTGTGTAGGATTCCTGGGCCCTTTCCAGTGGCTTTACAACAGTCAGGCAGACCTAAGCTATTACTGTAGGAGCTCTTCAGCCCTCCACAGCTTTACAGTTTTTTATAGACCTTTACTCTTGATGACAACAGTGTTACAATTCTTGGCCTGGGTTTAAGACCTCTTGGCTCTTTGGATCTCTCTGGCATCCAGGGCTGCAGCTTCTCTTGTCTGGTTTAGTCATTTATCCTCATTCAGTCTCAGTCCTCTGCCCTTTCTTGATGCCTCGGCTACTGCTTCTTCGGCGATGGATCACAAAGCTGGCTGTCCTGTCCCTTTTGTAGCCTGGCCTCCTGACTGCCCACTCAACACTGCCATTGCTCTTTGCTGCTTCTTTTTTCGCGATACCAGATCAGCCCACATTGCTAACAGTAGGTGAGCAAAGTCTCAAGAGATGACTTTTGCTGAACCTAAAGCTAGAAAGGGAGGCAACACAGGATAGTCTTTCCCAAGGTGAACCTGAGTGGCTGCTTCAAAGCCTAAAAGGGGACACTTGCTCCACAGAGCCTTTGCACCAGCCAAAGGAGTTCCTCTGCCCGGGGTTGACTTCCCTTCTCTACTTGGTGAAAGTGATTGCAAGGTCACTAGAGTTTACCCAGGCTTGTGGGCCAAGCCCTGTACAAACTGTTTCAGAAAGCCCTGAGGCTCTGCCTCTGGAGCTGTTTTAATCAGAGACCTTGTAGTTCTATCAAGGCCCTAACAGGGCACTCAGGATAGTCAGGGCTGCCATAAAGGCAGTCCAGTTGACTGTTGACTGACAATCCTTTCGCTCTAGGCACCCAGGACAACAAAGGGAAGTCTAATAGCTGCTAACTAGGGGTTTATGCTGCCTCAGCACCCCGATGTCTATGCTAACTTACAGAAAATGAACACCAAGCTGGAGGTGGTGGCTCATGCCTTTAATCCCAGTACTCTGGAGGCAGAGGCAGGCAGATGATCTCTGTGAGTTTGAGGCCAGCCTGGTCTACAGAGCAAGTTCCAGGACTACACAAAGAAACCCTGTCTCAAAACACAAAAAACAAAAGAAGGAAAAAGAAATGTTAACACTACTTAGCCCAGTGTCCCAGGGAGGGATGGGTGTCTGTCGGATCCAACCTTCACTTAAAAGGTAAGGGGGCTTGCTGCCAAGCCTGGCAACCTGAGTTCAATCACCAGGATTTACATGGTGGAAGAAGAAAACTGAGTCCTGAAAGTTGTCCTCTGACCTTCACAAGTGTTCCATGGAGCTTGTGTGCATCACACACACACACACACACACACACACACACACACACACACACACAAATAAATAAATAAATAAATAAATAAATGTAATATTAATTTAAAAAAGAGCCAGTCCTGAGACCTGGAGAGATGGTGTACTGGGCAAAGTGCTTGATGTACAAACATGAAGATCTGAGTTCAAATCCCCAACACTCATATAAAAGCCAAGTGAAGAGATGTGTATTTGTATTGCCAAGATTCCTTGCTAGAAGAGATGCAAACAACATCTACCCCCTCCTTCTATAGCCCCAACCATAAACCAAGTTCCACCAAAGTTCACTCTGGGAAATCAAAGAGTTTATTAGGCTCACTTAGAGCAGTGGGTGAGGGGTTACAGGCAGGAGCATAAATGCCCTTTAAGCAGCCATACTGGAAGGTTGGCATCCAGCATGGATGATGACTCCCATGACTGTGTAGATAGAACCCCTCCCTAATCCTTCCCTATCTATATACTCTGTCCCTTCTCTGTGACCCTATGTGCAATGGCAGAATTGAATACAACTGGTTGCCATCCTCTGTGAGGTAGCACCAAAGGTCATTAAGCCCAGCCATGAAAGCAGGCCCCAGTTGATGGTGACAGGGTTGATTGGAGGACAGTCCTATACAACTATCTGCAATGCCAGCACTGGGGCAGGGGTGTAGGTAAATAGGTGGATGGGGGGAACTTGCTATCTATATCTAGCCAGTCTAACTAATCAATAAGTTCAAAGTTCAGTGAGAGACTCTGCTTCCAAAAAAACTACGCTGGAGAGCCATAGAGGAAGGCATGTGACTTAAATGTTTGGTCCTGTGAGTAAACACACACACACACAATAAATACATAAATAAAAAATAAAGGTCAACACTGGGTCAGTCCAGAGAACAGGGAGTAAGGCAGCACCACTGATACAGTTGTCAGGACACTTGTGGAATGGAGAGGCTGGAGGCTGGTGTCTCCAGACAGAGCTAAGGCTTAAGGGTGGGGTGTGACAACCCCAGTATGAGACCTTTCTGGACTCCATCCCTAACTACAACCTCATTGTTCCTTTATCCATCCATCTGCCTGAAGCTTTCCATCCAGTAACTTCCCAGGATATGTGGGGTTGGGAGGGGCAGACACATTTCCTGAGTCTCTGCATATCTGAAAATGTCTTTACTCCTTGCTCCTGCTCTATTCATGTGAGCTAGAGGTACTATTTTTATGGTTGTTTTAGTCATTGTGTGGTGCCAGGGATCACATCTTGGCCCAGTATAAATGTTAAGAGGGTCAGTGGTCTGCTGGGAATTGTCTCAGTCACCTCCACAAGCAAATATCTTCTCCCTAGATGCTTTTGTGATTTTTCTCCACCTGTGGTGTACTGATGCATGACAAAAGGAGCCTCTGTATCAGTGGCCCATCCACCGGTATGGCAGTCTGGTTCATGTCATCTTGGAAATGCTGGGTGCTTTTGTGGGGGACACCTTCCTGAGTTAGTTTATTACTAAAAATTATGATTCTTCAAACAACAGAACATTATCTTCTCTCGGCTCTGGAGGCTAAAAGTCTGAAAGCAAGGTGGCATGCTACCTCAGAAGGCTGCTGGGAAGGCCTTTGTCTCCGCTGGCTTCTAGGGTTCCAGGTGTTCTCACCAGAGCAGATGTTCCCATCTCCACCATCATCTTCACTGGGCCTTCTCCATGGTGTCCTCTCCTCTCTGTCTCTATTGGGACACTTGCTGTTGAGTGCCGGGCTATCTGGATACCCCAGGATTACCCCATTTTAAGATATGCCTAGCCGGTTTTTTTCCCCATAAGACTATATTCACAGGTCCTGGGGTCAGAACTTGGGTATATCTTCTCAGGGGCATCAATAATCCCCCTGCACAGTCTGTAACCAAAAGCCAGTCAGGAAAAGTCAGGTATGTTTAGCTTCATTTTAACATTACATAATACATTTATTGAAATATCTCATTAATTCAAAACATGTGCAGTGTGTGTGTGTGTGTGTGTGTGTGTGTGTGTGTGTGTGTGTGTGAGAGAGAGAGAGAGAGAGAGAGAGAGAGAGAGAGAGAGAGGAGAGGGATCACATATCACATACTTGTAGTCTTAGCAGCAGATCACTTAACCCAGGAGTTCAAGACCAGCATGAGCAACACAGCAAGACCCTTTCCCTGGAAAGAAAAACAATAGCTAATTTTAAGTTATCCCATTATAGAATTTAAAAAAAACATAAATTAAAGTGAAACTCAGTCACATTACCAAGAGGGGTTTCTTTTCCAGGGGAATGCAAAGGGAACTCAGGGTATGGCTGTGAATGCTAGGCGCCAGAGCAGACCTGGCACACTCAACCCCTGTCCTGCTTTGACTTCTTGGTGGGAACTCTAGTCTAGGTGCTCCTGTTAGAGCCATTAACCACTCCTGTCTGCCTCCAAGCCAAAGAGACAAAGCCTGGAGCACAACCAGCAGAACAATTTCCCAAAGAAACTGTTTGTGCCTGTTTGAAGTTTGTTTCCCTGGGAACCTTGGGCTCTCAAGCCCATTGGATAGAAGGCAGATGCCATTCATTAAGGTGGCAGGAAGAATCTGACCATCAACCAGGACAGAAAGAAGAAAACCATCCAAGTGGTGAGCTGTATGAGACAGATTCCAGGCACCAGCTTCAGTTCCTGTGTCTGTCTCCCAGCATGGACTGCTTGAAGAAGAAGACCCTGTCTTTTCTCCTCATTTTTGTGTCCATATATGCACGTGGGACTCTGTTGCAGGAAGCTGGCCCAGCTAGGCAAAGAAAACCATTCTTTGAGAGGCTCCGTCGACTGGAAGAGCAGGTAGGTGAAACACACTTGGGCAGTTGGATGTATAAAGCCAGTAGCAGGTAATGGACAGGTGTTACAGAGAGAGCTGCTATCTGTGTTTACCGCACACAGCAATTGGTTTGCTATCCTTGCTGAAAGCTGACAATGTTCTCATCTGTTTGGGAATCAGGCAAGCATTTGCTAGGCTCCGTTCTGAAGTCCAGCTAGACAATGTGTGTGTGGGAAGATGCAGGAGACTTAAAGCGGTCTCTAGGGGGCCCCAAAAGCACAGCTGGAGAGGCCTTGGTAGCAGCAGTGCAGAACAGTGTCCATAGGTATGGGAGCTGTGAAAGTGCTGGTCTACCTCAAAGAGGTATGCCTGCCCAAGGGTTCCACTTGGGGGTCTGTAGACAGTTCCCCCACCCAAGCACTTCCTGTACTGATCCTCGTAAAGCCAAGCATGATAGTTACCCATAATCCCAGTGCTCAGAATATCTGAGTGAGATCTGTGAGTTTGAGGCTAGCCTGAGTGACATAGTAAGTTCTAAGCCAGCCTGGGCTACTGAGTGAGACTTTGTTTCAAAACAAAGGAGCAAAAAAACCTGAAAAGGAGCCAGGTGTGGTGTCACAGGTATTTACCCCAATGTTCAGGAGGTTTAGGCAGGCAGATCTCTGTGAGTTCAAGGCTAGTCTGGTCTACAGAAAGAGTTCCAGGACAGCCAGGGCTGTTAGACAGAGAAACCCTGTCTTGAAAAAACAAAACCAAAACATAAATTTAAAAAAGACCCAACAACAAAACAAACCTGTAAAGGCTAAGGTTGCTCAGTGGCAGAGTACTGCCTAGCCTGGAATGAACAAAATCCTAGATTCAGTTCTCAGAACTGTAAAAACATAAATAAATAATAAATAAATGGGGGGCTGGAGAAATGGTTCAGTGGTTAATATCACTCACTGCTTGTTCTTCCAAAGGTCCTGAGTTCAATTCCCAGCAACCACATGGTGGCTCACAAGCATCTGTAATGAGATCTGGTGCCCTTCTCTGACCTGCAGGCAACATGCAGACAGAATACTGTACACATAATAAATCATAATAAATAAATAAATCTTTAAAAAATAATAAATAAAGGTACTTGGAGCTGGAGAGATAGCTCAGCAATTCAGAGCACTAGCTACACCAGGCAGTGTTGGCTCAGGCAGAGACAGGTAGATATCTGTAAGTTCAAGTCCAGCCTGGTCTATGGAGCAAGTTCTAGAACAGGTTCCATAGCTACTGAGAAACCCTATCTCAAGAGAAAAAACAGCACAAGCTACTTGCAGAGGACCCAGGCGCATTCTCAGCACCCACATGACAGCTCACAACCATCCATAACTCCAGTTCCTGGATACACACACAGTATACATACAATACAAACATACATACATACATACATACATACATACATACATACATACATACATGCAGGCAAGACACTCATACACTCATAAGATTAAATAAATAAATCTAAAATGGAGGTGTTTTTTTGTTTTTCAAGACAGGGTTTCTCTGTGTAGCCCTGGCTGTTCTGGAACTTGCTCTGTAGATGAGGCTGAGGACCACAGCAGTGAGATAACTGGCTGTGGTCTTCCAGAGTGTCAGAGGTGGGAAGGATCACAGCCAAGGTCATGAGCCTGAAGCCCACATTTTACACCATGCAGTGTGGCACCTGAAAACAGTCACCCCCTTTGTACCTGTCCCTTTGGAATTGTTTATGATAATCTCCCCACATTTCCTAGCATGGTGACAAGGATCAAATTGGTCTATCCACTGCTATCCATACATAGGCTTGGTGCAGAATAGGTAAGTATACTTAGGATAGCCTCACCCCAACCCCATGATAGTGGTGTTCTTTTACAGTTTCAGAGATTCCAACAGGTGACCTTAACACACCTGCAGGACATTGCCAGCAACTATAATGTGTACTACAATGTGGATGCCCGCTTCCAGAGCCTGGTGGAAGAGAGCCAGGCCATAGCTCTAGCAGCGAACCGGTCTCAAGTTGCCATACAAAAGGATGTGGCCCACCTAAAAACTTGGCTCAGGAAGATCCAACGCAGAAGCCAGAAGGTGGATGCCCAGCTTCAAGCCTTGAACCTCTCTCTGAGCACAAAGAGCAGGCAATGGGTGGAGGAGGAAAAGGAGCAAAAAGCAAAGAGAGAGGTTACTGCAAGCCTGGCCCTGAGCATTAGGGCCCTGCAGGATGCACTGGCCAGCCTGACACAGCAAGTCCACAGCCAGGATGCCAGGCTTGCTGCTCTTGAGGGACAGATACAGAGAGCCTCCCCTGGTACTGCAGTTCTGGGGCTGACTACAGCCCCGATGCCCACTCAGCTTGCTCAGCGAGGCCCAGGTTCCTTGCAACTGTGGAGAAACAGCCAGACATCCAGGCCTTCACTACAAAACAGGAGCTCCCCCCAAGACTTCACTGTCCATGTCCAGAAGACACAGAAGTTCCAAGCCCCAAGCAGACATCAAGCAGCCCTACCAAGGACCCACCAAGAACCAGGAAACAGTAAGTGACACAAGCCTGTCACCTCCCTGTCCAGTTCTAGGTTTCCCTAGCAATATTTGAGGTTGTAATGTCATTCCCCACCCCTTTCACCCAAAAAAGCTTTCCCCCAAAGGGCCATATACCCAACACCAGAAGAGAGAATGGCCCAACCTTATCATTTGCAGGTCCTTAGCAGGTTAGGTCACATGGCAGAAGGGCCTCTGTTGAAATGATTGAATCAGGAGCCTCAAAATGAGGAATTGTGTGAAACAGTGATCTTCACTTCATAGTAAGAATACTGGAGTCTCGGAGTAGCAAAAGTGAAATAGTTTAGTTTGTGGTTGTGCAGGAGCTCAGTATGAACTTATAACAAAAGGCAGAAATGGCTGGTGACTTTTATATTCCTAATCTGGCACAAAGCAGTGACTTTTGAATTCCTGATCACATTCCCCTCCCTTCTGAATTCTCGTTAACTAAGTTATTCAAGGAGGTACAATCTTTTCTACTTGTCTAGGTTAGTCCCCACCCCAAATCCTGCTGGGCTTTCGATGCCCTCCTCTTTCCTGATACTGGACTCAGTCGCATAGACTTCTCAATTTAAGATAAACTAAAAAGCGCCCAGGCAAGCAGGTACCAGCTACTAGATGGAAGAGATGGGCCTGGTGACAGCTGCTTATCTGTGGTTCATGAATAACTTCTAAAGGCACCTCACACTGAAAATGGGCCATAATGATTTGTTTCCTATAGAATCACCCTAGATTATCTGGCTGATAATAGTCACCAAAGGCTAGAGAGAAAGACAGGAGAGTCAGAGTTGGCAGACACTTGAGGACAGAGGCCAAGCTTAGGAGGATACAATATACAACTGGGGCATAGCCAGGACCAAGGCCTGCAGGGCTTCTTCCAGTTCCAAGTGGAATGAGGAAGGACCTCTGAGCCTCTGGGGGAAGCTATGTCTTGAACCCTGTGAGACCAAGTTCAGGTTTATGACCTCCAAGAGAGGGCTGGCTTACATCAATATCCTTATAGCAGAGTTACAGCAGCTCTGGGGGCTCAGACAGAAGCTCCCTTGGTTGTGAGGTGTCTGCTAGACAGACAGCTGAGTCACACATAGGGGATCCATCCACTCCCTGAGAAGTTATTCTCAGTCCTTACCTGTGGAGCAGAAGTGTTGAGATTGTGAGTGCAGCAGAGAGGGTGTGAGTCAAGCCCTCCAAAGACCCTGGGTGATGTAGGTGAGAGTGAAGGGCAGGACTGCAACAGGATGCTTCTGAACTACCTCGTGCTCAGGGATGACTCTCTTCCCTCTGTTTTCAGTTTGCAGCTCAGGCCCAGTGCTAATTTTTCCCAACGCCTCCACTGAAAATGTGATCTTTCTTAGCCCCAGCTTCCTCACGCCCCTACGAGCTCTGTCTTTCTGCAGTTGGATTCGTATGGCCTCTGGCCACCTGGGTACCCTCCTTTCTTATGCCACCAAAGACAATGACAACAAGCTAGTACTGCATGGCCGAGACTCCCTGGACCCTGGCTCCATCCACTTTGTAATTGGTGACCCGGTCTTCAGGGAACTGTCCCTGAAACCACTTCTGGATGGTCAGTGGCACCACATTTGTATCATCTGGACATCCATGGAGGGCAAGTACTGGCTCCACATAGACCGAAGGATAGTAGCTACTGGCACCCACTTCAGAGAGGGCTATGAGATCCCTCCTGGAGGATCCCTCGTGTTGGGCCAGGAACAAGACACTATGGGAGGTGAGTTTGACAGCTCTGAGGCCTTTGTAGGAAGCATATCTGGCCTGGCCATCTGGGACCGGGCACTGGTACCTAAAGAAGTTGCAAACCTTGCCACTGGGAAAGAGCTCCCGACTGGTGCTATTCTGACGCTGACCAATGCCACATCAGTGGGGGGATTTGTGAAGAGGGCCAAATGTACCTGCCTGGAGCAATGTCCATGAGGCTGACACACTTGAGCTGCATCACAGTCAAGGCCAGCAAGAAGTGCAAGCCTTCATATCAACATATTCCAAAACACACCCCTGCCATCACTTCAGGACTGTGCACCTGTGCTCTGACATAGGCACCACCTGCATGGAAGTTGGGAGTAGATGGAAAATGTGCAATGGAGAAAAAGGGGCCCAGACTGCAACTTCCTATTGTTGTGGAACTCTTTTGTTTGGTTGGCATTTTTGTGGTTTTGTTTGTTTGCTGTTTTCTAAGACAGGGTCTCACACTGTGGTCCTAATTGGCCTAGAACTTACTCTGTATCTCACGCTGGCCTCAAACTCATAGCAGAGACTCCAAATGTGAGTCACCAATCTGCCTCCCTCCCTCTCTCCCTCCCTCCCTCCCTCCCTGTGGTAGCTGCTGAAGCTTCCAGAGCTACCATTAAAGACATACTAACAATGCTTTAAAACATAATTTCTGAAGCATGATTTCCATATTAAATACTTGCCTTGTTGTTTTTTGTTTTTGTTGATTTTTTTTGTTTTTTAAGACAGGGTTTCTCTGTATAACAGCTCTGGCTATCCTGGAACTCACAAAGATCTGCCTGCCTCTGCCTCCTGAATACTGGGATTAAAGTATTGTGCTACCAATACCCTGCTAATATATGCCCCTTTGAAATTTTTCTTAAAGGTTTTAATAAAAGTGCTGAGTTGTGCAACCATCACAATCTAGTTTTTTTATTTTGTTTTGTTTTTTTTTGTTTTTTGTTTTTCGATACAGGGTTTCTCTGTGGCTTTGGAGGCTGTCCTGGAACTAGCTCTTATAAACCACAATCTAGTTTTCTTTCTTTCTTTCTTTCTTTCTTTCTTTCTTTCTTTCTTTTTTTTTTTTTTGAGACAGAGTTTCTCTGTGTAACATCCCTAGCTGCCTCACTTTGTAGACCAGGCTGGCCTACAGAGATCTGCCTACCTCTGCCTCCTAAGTGCTGGGATTAAAGACACATAACAGTCTAGTTTAAATCATTCCCCCAACATTATGTCCCTGGCCAGCTCTGTGGGGTTGCTTGTCCTGAACAATCCAGATAAAATATATGTCCAGCTCTTGTATTTCAGCACAGTTTTTCCATGTTCATCTATGTTGTGGCATGTACCCATGCCTCATTCCTTTCTGTAGCTGGATAATATTCCATGGATTGTTTATCCATTCATCAGCTGATGAATTTTTGATTGTTCTGGCTTTTTAGTAATGTGAGCAAGGCTGCTATGAGCATTCTCACATATGTCATTGAGTAAATGGATATGTCTTTATTTATCCTGTGAAAATACTCAGGATCAGATGGACCATATGGTAAACTCATATCTAGGTTCCCAAAGAAACCTCCAAACTGTTTTCCAAAGTTGCTGCCCAGTATATATCCCCATCAGCCACATGTGATGGTTTCCCCTTCTCAGCATCCTTGGCAAACCTTGGTGTGGTCGATTTTGACAACCTTCTCTTCAGATTCCAAACTGGAGCCATTATAAAGCAAAAGCAACAACAAAAACAAAGCAAAACACATGGGGTCGGAGAGAGGGGTCAGTAGTTTAGAGCAGTTGCTGCTCTTGCAAGGGACCTGGATTCAGTTCCCAGCTATCATGGCAGCTCACAACCATCTGTAACTCCTGTTCCAGGGGTTCCGATGCCTTTCTATGGTCTCTGAAGACACCAGCACACATAAGGTGCATATACATACATGCAGGTACTCACACACATGAAATAAAAATACATCTTTAAAAAATGCTTTGACAATTAAAACAGACATTTTTACTTTCAGCTTTGGTGTGCTTTTGAAAATTTACCTTTACAACACTGGAGAACCCCCAGAGAAGATCCAAAATCAAGATCTTAAAATCAAAGTCCTTTGGTATAGCCAGGAAATAGAGACACAGAGAGGCCCAGTGAACCTAGGGACAGGTCTGGTCCTCAGAATGCACCCCTTCCCCTCTTTAAAAAGAAATGATTTACTTTCTTTTGAATCATGTATATATGAATATCTACTTGGATCTATGGAGTGCATGCTGTGTGTGCCCACAGAGGCCTGAGCTCCTTGGGGCTGGAGCTAAATTGCTTATGAGCTACCTGTGTGGGTGCTGGGAAGAGAACCCCAGCCAGCTCTCTAAAAGAGCAATAAGTTCTCTTGACCACTGATCAGTCTCTCTAGTCCCCTCCCCTCCTTTTGTTCTCCTTCACAGGAATTTTGAGTCCAGCAGAATCCTTCTTGACCCAGTTGTACTCTAAGATGCTAGCAACTCAACAGCCATCAAAAGTCAACAGAGACGGTGGCCATCAAGCTTGCTGTCTCAAAACAGTTAAGATTAATGGTGGAGAGTAAGCAAAGAAAGTCAAGTTTTAAGAAAAATTATTTAAGAAGAAATTAAGAAAAAATGAAAGCTGAGCAGTGGTGGCACATGCCTCTGATCCCAGCACCTGGGAGGCAGAGCCAGGTGGATCTCTGTGAGTTTGAGGCCAGTTTGGCCTACAGAGTAAGTTCCAGGTCAGACAGGGCTACACAGAGAAACCCTGTCTCAAAATAAGGGAGAGAGAGAGGGGGAAAGAGGGAGAGGGAAAGAGGGAGAGGGAGAGGGAAAGAGGGAGAGGGAGAGGGAGAGGGCGAGGGAGAGGGAGAGGGAGAGAGAGAGAGAGAGAGAGAGAGAGAGAGAGAGAGAGAGAGAGAGAGACTGCAATGGGAGGAATTCCTAAAAGAAGGAAACGCCATTGGATTCTTTTGTCTATGGGGCTTTTATAGAGCTATGGTAGAAATGGGCTGAGGTAAGTCCTATGAGACTGGTCAGTTCCAGGTGCATTAACAGCTGAGCTACCCAGAGAGCAGGCTGCCATGCTCTTGGTTAGTCCCCCTGGCCCAGGGATGATTATGAGCGTGTGCTGCCTATCAGGTTAGTTAGAGTTGAAATTCCCTCCCTTGTCCATTTCTGGCTCTGGCTTTTTCTCAGTTGTTGACTGTCTGATAGCTGTCATTCTCTTGGTCAGCTTGCTATCTGACTTTGCAGGTGTCCAAGTGCTGCTAATTATACTGAGCTCTCTTAATTCTCAAGAAATAGCTGCTGTTGTTCTTAACTATTCATAGTTAACTTTTCATTTAGGGAATGGTCTGGGGTTTCTTTCCTGATGTATGTAGAGGCTTTCTTGGAAACTTTCTGTTATAATTGGTTATATTATAAGGAAGAGTATATTAAAGTGCAATATTGCTATATGAACATTTATAAACAGGCTGGGGGTGGGGGAAGTCATTCTGTCCTCACTGACCCAAAAGCCTGTCACTCCAGTCTCTCTCTCTCTCTCTCTCTCTCTCTCTCTCTCTCTCTCTCCTTTTTTAGACAGAGTTTCACTATGTAGCTCTGGCTGTCTTGGAACTCTGAAGACCAGGATAGCCTCAAACTCACAGATCCACCTGCCTCTGCCCCTGCCCCTGCCCCTGCCCCTGCCTCTGCTCTGCCACTGGGATTAAAGGCTTGTGCCACTATATTAGGCATCAGTTTGGTTACCTCAGTATTTCAGGCTTTGCCACTTCAGCATGTAATCTTCCTTTAAACCTCAGTGTCTTCTCACTGTAACACTTGTGAGCAATTTGGAGTTTTCACCATGTGCCCTTTTCCCTTCCTGCTTACAGAAAGCTAACTCCTGCATCACTGGTTTGGAGGTTTTTTGTTTTGTTTTGTTTTGTTTTTGTTTTTTGTGAGAGAGTATCACTGTATAATCTGGGTCAGTATCAACCTTGCTACCTTCCCTCCCCACCTCAATGCTCCAAATGCTGGGATTGTAGACATGTGCCTCCACACTCCCTTTCCATTTCAAAAGTAAAACTGTGGGTCTGGAGGGATGGCTCAGCGGTGGAGAGCACTGGCTGCTCTTCTAGAGGACCCAGGTTTGGATCCCAGCATTCACATGACAGCTCATAACCGTCTGCAACTCCAGTTTCAGAGGATCTGATAGCCTTTTCTGGCTTCCACAGGTACTAGGCACACACATGGTGTACATACATGCAGGCAAAATACTCATACATAACATTTTAAAAAAAAATTCAGACATGAGAAAACAGACTAGATGTGACTCATGCCCAGTGCTAATCAAACCATGGGATCCCCAAGGCCTCCTGCACTCTGTGCATGCTGGCTTCTGTTCTGTAGAGGTTGGACCTTCATCTGGCCACCTTCTCATCCACAGGGAGGCAGCCGGCAGTATGCACACCTACCCAGCTGCACTGTCATGGGGACAGTGCTCTAAACTGGTCCTTTTCCTTTTTCTTTGACTGGCTCGCATGTAGCCCAGGCTGGGCTTGGATTCACTTGTAGCTGATGACGCCCCTGGACTCCTGACCCTTCTACCCCCACTCTCTGAAGCTGGAATTACAGGGGTTTCCCAAAAGGGCTTCATGCATGCTAAGCAAGTACTTTGCCAACTGAGCTACATCCCCAGCCCCTTACATGATTCTCAACAGCATCTTTCCAACCTCTGTGTGCCCAGTGTTCTAGGCCTTCAGCTAAAATCAGCCATCAAGGCCGCCCGTTCCTGAGTCACAGTAGGAGTGTATTTTAGATCTGGAAACTCCCGGTGGATGCCTCACACTGTGATCTTGAGTCACCCACTGCCTTCTGCTTCCCCAAGGACCTGGCTTGAGAGCCCCTCTTCCTCAAACTTTCCTTCCTTCTCTCTCTCTCTCTCTCTCTCTCTCTCTCTCTCTCTCTCTCTCTCTCGTTTTTTGAGACAGGGTTTCTCTGTTTAGCCCTGGCTGTCCTGGAACCCACTCTGGAGACCAGGCTGGCCTCGAACTCACAGAGATCCACCTGCCTCTTCCTCCTAAGTGCTGGGATTAAAGACCCAGCCACCACCGCCCAGCCCTTGACATTTTTTGTTTGTTTGTTTCATTGCATTCTGGCTCTTAGGAGAGTGGGGAGCAGCATCTTCTTCCTGGAAATAGCCACAATCTAGTGACTGTTGGAGAATGGTGTGGTCCCTCAAATTGTTGTTCTGTGGAAGACCCCTAGCAACAAGTAGGAGTTGAACCTCCAATGGTTTGATTACAGATTCTTGATCTCAATGTCATGTATCAGATTAGAAGAGCGGGAAGTAGCCAGACGTACAGGGACTCAAAGCCAGGACAGGAAAAGTAAGCTGCACAGTATCCTTTCTACATTCTTCCGAGCTTCCAGGTGCTCACATGGCCTAGGGGAAACCGAGGTACCACTCCAGGCATTGCAGACCTCGGAACTTCAGCAGATGTGTCACTGCACAGTGGGCTGCTGCATCCAGGAGACACTGTGGAACCAAAAGTCACTCCAGGCAAGAGAAGGCCTTAGATGGGGGTCAATCAGCAGTACTGGGGGCAGTGTGGCAGGACCCCAAGGACAAGTAGAGATCTGTGACAGGCAGTCATAGGAATTCTGATGGATTTGGGAACCAGTCTGAACATGTCTCTATGACTCAGCCTCCCAGTAGAGTCAGAAAAAGTCACCTGTACATTTTGAACCATGAACCCCACTCTCTAATGCCACTAGAGTCTTACTTTAACCACACTCATTACATTATCACAACCCTGGTCCTGGAAGAAGTCAGTCCCAACTAGAAGCCATTGGTTTTAACATACTCAACTTGTCCATCCTGTCCATTTCTCCTTTTACAAGGACTAGGGTGGAGTTCAATGATGGACAGCACTTTCCTGACATGTGTAAGGTCCTAAGTTTAATCCATAATAAGCAAAAAGTCAGTAAAAAAGAGTACAAAAAGTTGAAGGCCCTGGTCTGTCAGGAGCTGTGAGAATTGTGCCAACTTGTCCGCAAGGGGTTACTGAGTTCATCTACCCTCCCAGGCATAACCCTTCACCCTAGGACTATTCTCTCCATGTCCCCCACCCCCACATGCCCTGCTATGCTCATGCCTCTACTCTGCTTAGCCCTCTACTGGTTCTTTCTTTCCCCAGACCCTACCATCCAGCAAGACCCAAGCCTGTGCATTCAATCTAACTGACAACTTGTGCTGAATATGTCAAGAATAATGAAGCCAGGCGATGGTGGCACACACCTTTAATCCCAGCATGTAGGAGGCAGAGGCGGGCATAGCTCTGTGAATTTGAGGCCAGCCTAGTCTACAGAGCTAGTTCCAGGGCAGCCAGGCCTACATAGAAAAAACCCTGTCTTGAAGGAGAGAGAGAGAGAGAGAGAGAGAGAGAGAGAGAGAGAGAGAGAGAGAGAAGGAATAATGGTCCCTGACCAGAGAACCAGAGAAGAGGGAGGTCTTGCCTCTGAACCTCTAAGGGGCTAGCTGGCTGTCCTAGTTTCAAAGAAATTGTGATCAAAGTTGGTTTGTTTGTTTGTTTGTTTGTTTGTTTTTGTTTTTACAAGACAGGGTTTCTCTGTGTTGCCCTGTCTGTCCTAGAACTCACTCTGTAGACCATGCTGGCCTCAAACTCAAAAATCCCCTGCCTCTGCTTCCCAAGCGCTGGGATTAAAGGAGTGTGTCACCACCACCCAGCTTCTGATCAAAGTTTTGAAAGTAAACGTATGTAAATTCAAGCCCCATTGAATCCCAATGACCTTCATTAGACAAGCTGTAAGGATTCAGGCATTATGCCCCCCCGCGGGGGGCGAGCCGCCCCCCCCCCCCCCCCCCCCCCGTCTCCCTCTTCTCTTCTGCCCCCCTTTCTCTTTCCTTCCCTTTTCCCTCCCCTTTCTAATAAAACTTTTCATTTAAGCTCTGTCTGCCTGGCATGTCCCCTCCTGTCCACTTCCACCCACCCTCCCACTTCTGGGTCACCCTCGCCTGCCATGGAATCTGCCAAGGTTCCCCAAGTGCATTATCATAACACAAGCCATCTTCATTTCCCAACCACAATGCCCAGCAATACAAAAGAGGGCCTTAATATCCTTGTCACTATCCTGCAAAATGACAAAGCCAAAGTGCATCAATGAAAAAAATACAACTTTTTGGAAGGAATTTTGTTTTTGGTGTTTTACACACACACATACACACACACACACACACACACACACACACACACACACACACACACAGGATTATCATGGGGAAAATTCAGAACCTCGTTTGACTTCCTTCCTTTTATTCTGTGTTTAGTTTTGCTTTTACTTTGAGTTTTGTGAAAGGAAGGAGGTTTCCTGTAATCCTCTCACCCTTAGAAATTAAGGAAAAGTTAAAACTTTTGATTTGGAAATTTCCAAACCCAAAAAAATTTGCTCCTTTTTAACTCCTTTTTAAATTTCCTATACATGATTTTTGTCACCATTGAAAGTCTGAATCGGAGCTGGAGAGATGGTTCAGGGGTTAAGAGCACTGGCTGTTCTTCCTGAGGACCTGGGTTCAATTCCCAGAGCCCTCATGGCAGCTCAGAACTGTATGGCTCCAGTTCCAAGGAACCAACACCCTCACACAGACATGCATGAGGTATAACACCAATGCACATAAACTAAAAATAAATTATAAAAAAATTATAAAAAAGGAAATGCCATCTTCATAAAGTGCTAGTATTACATGGAGGATAGTGTCACTTGGTGGATGAAGAATCTTTGAAAGTATTTCTTGCATATGTCAAAGAAAACATAGATTATTTTAAGAATGGCTAAGGCAGGAGGATTCCAAGGTTAAGCGCAGCTTGAATTAGCTAGCAAACCCCTAAATCAAAAAAACACAGGCCAGTGGTGGTATTGAATGCCTTTAATCCCAGAACTCTGGAGGCAGAGGCAGGAAGATCTCTGAGTTCCACACCAGCCTGGTCTCCAAAGCAAGTTCCAGGACAGCCAGAGATACACAGAGAAACCAGGTCTCAAAAAATAAAAAAATAAAAAACAAAAAGAAAGTCTGAATTGTATGGGTTTCTCTGTGTAGCTTTGGAGCCTATCCTGGCACTCAGTCTGGAGAACAGGCTGGCCTCGAACTCACAGAGATCCATCTGCCTCTGCTTCCGAAGTTCTGGGATTAAAGGCGTGTGCTACCAACGTCCGTTTTTCAATATTTTTAAAAATAATCACTTATTATTTTGTGTGCATTGGTGATTGGTGTCTTGCCTGTATGCATGTCTGTGTGAGGGTGTTGGATCCTGGAGTTACATTACAGACAGTTGTGAGCTGCCATGTGGGTGCTGGGAATTGAATCTGGGTCCTCCAGAGGAGCAGTCAGTGCTCTTAACCGCTGTGCCATCTCTCCAGCCCTCCCCAATATTTCTGTTAAATGTTGCTTTCACATTGTACCTATTTCCTTCATTAAGTGGACACTTTCTTTCTTGCCCCCCCCCCTTTTTTTTAACCATCTTTTGTAAAGCAACTGCCATAACACTGCTGAGAAGTAAACATTGCACCATTTCCCTTCCTTCTCTGTAGAGTGCCACCCATGATGGTTACGGTTAGTTTCGAGTTCCTGAAGTTGCAGCTTCAAATCCCAGTTCTCACCCCTACACATTTCAAGATTTATCTCTTAGGAACAACTCTGCCAGCACTCGGGAGGCAGAGGCAGGCGGATCTCTGTGAGTTCGAGGCCAGCCTGGTCTACAGAGCGAGTGCCAGGATAGGCTCCTAATCTACACAGAGAAATCCTGTCTCGAAAAACCAAAAAAAAAAAAAAAAAAAAGAACAACTCTGTTGATACAACAACGATGCCAAGACCACACTAATAAACTTAACCTTGTTAAAATACTATTGCCTAAAATCTGTCTTTGTCTCTTCGGAGGCCCGAACCTTAGCCTTCCTTCTGGAAAGTCGGTCTCACAGCCTTTTCCCGGAATTACAGCTTTAAGGCTGCTCTTCCAGGAGCATAGCGCAGGAGACACGTGAAGTCAACTTGGTTAAGAGGGTCGATACCAGAACTCCTACAGCTAGTTTCTTTTTTCCCCCACATCATCTCTTCAGGGACTGGGCGTGCACCTCAGGTTAGTTCTCTGGCGTCTGGGTCACTGAATTCAGTGAAGATACTGACTGACAGTAGCCCTTGAGGTGTCTAGCCGGGGCGGCAAGGACTAGTGAACCACAACTCCCAGAAGACCCTGCGTTCACGGATCTCTCCGGCCACCATCGTCGGTCACGTGGGCACCGATGGCGGATCACGTGAGTCCCGGGCGCGCGTCACGGGAACGCTGCCGGAGGGACGGCAGGCTGTTCTTGTTGAGTTTGGTCCTTAGTGGACCATGGCCAACGTCTCCAAGAAGGTGTCTTGGTCCGGCCGAGATCGGGATGATGAGGAGGCGGCGCCGCTGCTTCGAAGCACTGGGCAGCCTGATGAAGAGACGCCGCTGCTGAACGGGGCCGGTCCGGCCGCGCGCCAGGTGAGGCCCGCGGACCGGAGCTGTGGCCGCTGGATTTGCTGCGCTGGAGGGACCCAGGGGAAGTCCACAGCGTTTTCCTCTATTATTATTATTATTTTTTACTCCCGGAAGATTTTTATTTTTGACAGTTTCGCACCCCTCTTCCTTTCTTTCCCTTTGAACCCCTTTTTTCAGTCTAGTCCCAATGGCTACACCATTAGAGAAAATGATAGCCTCTCCTCCAGCATCATTAATCGTCATTTGCTTTTCAGCAAGAGATCCTAGGACTTTAATCTTCTGTATTGTTTTTGTTTTCTTGATTTTACTCTACGTGGTGAAGGTCGGTCCCAGGGTTTAACATACTAGGTAAATTGATATGCTCCCCAGCCCTTGGCGTTTCAGGACGGACTCACTGGTGTAGCCCAGGCTGGCCATGAACTCATGATTATGCCCCATTTTCTCAAGAACTTGGAAGGCCTGGACTACACGCCTGGCAGTTTTTACAGTTTAAATGGCAGAATTGCACTCTCAGTGAAAGTGTCTCCTTATTCACAGTAATTCCAGACGTTTGGGACATAATTGCAGTGACAAGCATTTCCACTCATTTTCTCTTACTACCTAATTGAATTTGAATTTGGAATGTGCAGCTGGACGTGATAAGCAACAAGTCAGAGACCAGAGTGTGTTCCTCTCAAAACACAGTTTGTGCCTTTAAATGATTAATGTTTGAAAAGGGTTACTGGTTTGATTACTTGCATGCTTTTGGCTCTTCTGCCTGTGTGCATTGTATTACCTTTGAGTAAGGTATTTATGTGAATCTCTTGATGTCTGTCCGTTTATAACCATTTTTATCTTTTACCGTTTCTCCTGATTTTAGAGTTGTCTAACAAATACCCCCACCATTTTAAAGGGTAGGAAGAACACAAGAACAGGCTGTTTCATCAGAACTTACATTTAGGCTTTTCTAGACCCTTGAAGTTGCATTGGACAATGCAAGTCAAAGTCACTTCCTTGTTGCTGGAAGCAGTTCAGCTCCCTTTGAAGTGACATCTGCCTGTAAATCTGGTCTGCTGCAGTCATTTGAAGGGACTGTGATTGAGTGCTAGGGCATTTGGGGAGGTGTGATTTGTTATCCCTGTTGTAAAGAAAGTAACCTTGGGGGCTGAAGAGATTTCTCAGTGACTAAGAGTGCTTGCTTCTCTTACAGAAGACCCATGTTCAGGTCCCAGCACCCAGGTCCAGTGGCTCACCCATCTGTAACTCTAGTTTCAGGGATCTGAAAACCCACTCCTCTCCAGGCCTCCACTTATATAACTCTCTCCCTTCCTCCCTGCCCTCCCCTCCCCAAAACAAAGTAACCTTAAGTTGGATACTGGTTTTAAGAAAGGAAAAGAGATGGGGACTGGAGAGGTGGATGGCTCAGGAGTTAAGAGCACTGACTGCTCTTCCAGAGGACCTGCATTCAATTCCCAGCACCCACAAAGCAGCTAATTATCTATAGCTCCAAGATCTGACACTCTCATGCAGACATACACACAGGCAAAACACCAATGCACATAAAATAAAAATAAATAATTTTTTTTAAAAAGAGGAAAAGAGTGGAAAATGACACAGTTGGGTTTTGTTTTTATTTGTTTGGTTTTGCTTTTCTTTGTAAATAGACCTAAGAGTTGGTTTCTAAAGAAAGAATTGGTCTTTCTCCCTAAATACCATTATAGCTTTTAAAACTGCAATTAATACAATTGATTGGTTGCTTTAAACAGCTTTAAAAAGAAGTTATGCACCTGCCCCATTGTGGGTTCTGAGGTGTGTGTACAGGTCACTGAGGTGCATAAGACAGCTTCCTTCGCTCTGTAAACAGGCTCAGCTCCTTGTTGCTTCTGTGTGAGGAGCCCTATAGGTGTGGGGGTGCACAGAGCACTTTTGTGCTCTATGTGAATAGTGCAAGGTCCTCAGACAAGCTCAGGACAAAAAGAGTATTATGTTTAGAATGCTACAATAGTTTGGAATATGGTTCGTGGTATGGAAGTCCTGTTCAGGCATGTTAACTGATTTTGAGTTTGGCTTAGGTCTAGGAGAAACATGCAGGAAGCTGGGGGCTCCAGTGCTAAGGAATCTTTGCCCTACTTAGACAGGTTGAACAGGCACTGGCTACCCTTTGCAGTGGTCACTGGACCAGCCAGAATTTCAAGTAGGATCTGAGGCCTGCTCATGCCAGTTTTCTCATCTGTAAAAAGTTAATAAATGTTTAACACTGAGCAAGCCTGTTAGAAAACAGGCTCTCAATAGATACTAGTCATTAACAGCAAGGGTCTGGAGAAGAAGAATGCTTGCCCAGCATCAGTGAAACCCTGAGTTTAGTCTCCAGTGCCAGTACCACATAAAACTGGGTGTGGTAGCAAATAGCTATAATCCCAGCATGCAAGTAGTGAAGGCAGGAGGACCAGAAGCTAAAGGTTAATGATGAACTAGATGAGACCCTGTCTCAAAACAAAACAAGCAAGCCCCCCCCCAAAAAAAACCCTACCAAACTGAAAGAAACTCATCTTTGCCCTTGACATTTATCTATGGCCCCCTCTTCAGCGGAATGACTTTTTGGTGCTGCTTTATTCAGGGGAAGTCTGCTCTGGATAATAAGCAGGCTCATAGTCAGACATGGTGTGTCCTGGTACTGCAGCAGCAGTCAGTGAGTTAGTCTGGAGTCAGTACCCTTTTGAAATAAAAAGGGGGACACAGTTGGGGTGACCCTGGGTATTGAACATGAACTTCTTATCCTGGCCACCTCCTGGACCTCTGGGCTTTGTTACATACAGCATCTCCAGTGTTGGGCTGTGGCATTGTTGCCACCTCAGTTAGGCAGAAGCAGGCCAAGCAATGAAGTAGTTGCTCTAGGTAAGACAGGCTGGGGTCCTGCAGGACTACCTACAGGCTAAGGCTTTGGTCCTTCTCCTGGGTGTGGGGTGATAATGGAACAGAGAGAGGGTGAGGTCAGGTGGCAAGTCATGGTCATGTGTGTGGGCTGTGGGAAGTAGAGTATTCTCTGAGGCTGTTTGATCCTAGAGCAAACGGTGGTGGCAAGGTAGCAGTGTGGGTTTGCAGTCTCTTTAAATGCAGGGCAGTTTTACAAGCCCTGCATTTTTGGGAATTGCCACCAGAGACATCCCCTCCCTTAACAGAGGAGGGACCTCAGGTGATTATGGGACTGTTCTGCCCTGGTAACTTGACACCACAGACCACAGCCTGAAGGGCTATTGGAGAGCTTCAGGGAGGGTCTTCTAATTGTCCCCAGTGACCCTTGGGCCTTGCTATCTTCTGGTGAGAGTTGTTAGTTCTCAGCCTTAGGAGTTTGTCCTCTCTCAGGTCATAAGCAAGCCTCAGCCTAACTAGGTGCAGAGAGCTAAAGGATAAGGTCCTGGAAGCCTCGGGGCAGCCATACAGGACCATATCCACCCCCAAGCCTGTCTCTGTGGCCCTTTCCTCCCTGCTCTGGGCTGCTCTGCTTGTTGTAGGCCTTCTGGCTATTGCTTCTAAAGCAGGTCTCTCTTCCCTATTTTCTGTCCCCTTTGTAACATTTGCACTGGCTGTATAAACTGCTTTTTTTTTTTTTTTAAATAATGGCCCCACTATAGCAGTTTGGGTTTCTTTGGTGCTTGGCATTGGAGCCTGGCACCTGGCAGCTGCTCAAGGAAGTGGGGGTATAGAGCCGGTAGTATGTAACAATGAGCAGCTTAAAAAAACGGTTTTTTAAAGGTGACACATGCCTTTAATCCCAGCACTTAGGAGACAGAGGCAGGCAGATCTCCAAGTTTGAGGCCCACCTGGTCTACAGAGTGAGTTCCAGGTCAGCCAGGGCTGTATAGAGAGACCCTGTCTCAAAAAAGTGCTAAAAATACAAAAAAATAGGATGTCTGCAGGTGTGAAGTGGTGTTTTGCAGCTCAGGTTCCCCTGGAACTGGAGGATGGCAGTGTTCAGTGGTTGTCCTCCTTTGTCAAATAAAATGTGTGTGTTTGTGTATGCATACATGTATGTATGTGTGTATGTATGTATGTATGTATGTTTTTGTAGGAAGAGAACATAACATGAATGCACTGTCTAGGTTCATACACTATTCGTCCCCATTCACCCCATAATGGAGACTGAACCCCAGGCTTCCTGTGTACTAGACAGGTATTCTACCCTGCTCAATACTTTTAGTTTGTTTTTTTGCTTGTTTTTGTTTTTTGAGACAGGCTTTCTCCATGTAGCCCTGGGTGTCTTGGAACTCGCTCTGTAGACCAGGCTAGACTCAAACTCAGAGATCTTCCTGCCTCTGCCTCCCAAGTGTTGGGATCAAAGGCGTGCACTACCACCACCCGGCAAATTTTTATGTGAGGTCAGACTATTGGTATAGTGTAAAAGTGGCTCAGGCGGGTCTTCAACTCTCTGTGTAGGTAAGGCTAGCTCTAAACATATTTTTGTTTTTGAAAGTATGTGTATCTGCACATGTATGCCATAGTGGGTGTGTGGAAATCAGGATAACTTGGAGTTGAGTCTTTCCTCCACCATATGGATTCAGGGGGTTGAGCTCAGGTCATCAGGCTCAGGAAGAGAAGCCTTTATCCAGTAGGCGCAGCCTTTTAATTTTTGATCCTCCTCCCCCAAGCTCTGTATCCAGCATTACACATTACAGTTGTAGCACCACCCATCTGGTATATTCCTTTTTTTTTTAATATTTATTTATTTATTTATTTATTTATTTTTGGTTTTTCAAGACAGGGTTTCTCTGTGGCTTTGGAGGCTGTCCTGGAACTAGCTCTTGTAGACCAGGCTGGTCTCAAACTCACAGAGATCCACCTGACTCTGCCTCTCTGCCCCTCTGCCTCTCTACCTCTGCCTCCCGAGTGCTGGGATTAAAGGCGTGTGCCACTACCGCCCAGCATCTGGTATGTTCTTAATGTTGGGCAATTAGTCTTTCATCTTGTAAAACTGAAACTGTACCCAGAGTTTTCTTTCTCCTTCAGCCCCTGGCCACCACCTGTTATTCTGTCTTTATGGATGTAACCACACTAGGGAGGCTGGCCTCGAACAGCTTTGTAGCTGAGGATGACATTCTACTTTGGGGGGATGGGGAGGGAGCAAAGGCAGAATATCACCACATAGCTCTGACAGGCCTAGAATACACTATGTAGACCAGGCTGGCCTGCATGTATGTGTGTATGTATGTATGTTTGTATGTGTGTGAGTAATTCGTTGTTTTCTGCCTGTCAGCCATTCTCAAATTCTATGATTTGCATTTATGTTCTGTTTTGAAAGTTACCTTTTCAGTCTTTTGGTGTGTGGGAATTTTTGTTTTATGTAACTTTGAAATAATTATAGATTTCTAGAAGTTGCAAAACTAGTCCTGAGCAGGCCGGTGTTCTCGTGCAGTTCCTTCTAGGGTGTTGTGTTGAGTAGCCGTAGCTCAGTACCAGAGCACTGAGTTTGCCAGCTGTGCAGTGTGTCTAGATCCTTGGGAATGTCTGTCATTCCACTTCCTTAGTCTAAGCCCTCTGCAAAGGGGACCAGGCACCTGTACCCCACTGTGGTCTGTGGATTTTTCTGCTGTCACACATTGCTCTGTCAGCCTTCACCTGATTTTGGGTCCTACTTGCTACTGCTTTCACATGGTTGGGCCACTGCTTACCAAGTCTGGGGTCGAGGATATCATGTAAGCAAGTACATGACGCATAGCCAGCACCTCTCTCAATATCCTCTTAAACTGTTGAGGTTTCATTTTCTTAGGCCTTGTGGTTCTGACTCTTGGCACCTGTGACATAGTGGAACAATTGTTGATGGCCTTTGACTTGTCTAGCTCATCAGTGATAGATAAAATAGACTGGCTACTTACCCTTCTCTCTGCTGTGCCCCTCAGCCCCTTCTTCATTGTCCTTATGTTTTCTGCATGGTCACTCAGCATCTAGGGGAATTTCCCTGAGGGGGTGAACGGGGTTCACAGTGGGTGACAAACCAAGAGTCTTATTGACTCAGGCCTGGTACAAGGCCTGTCACATGCACCTCTGTGTACAAATTGACTGGGAGGCTGTGACAGCACTGGAACTTCTCTTGAGAAGGGTTCATCTGTGTGCAACAGCTTCCTTTCTGGGCCAGCACACTGGCCAACAGGCTATGGAGCATACTTGCCCTTTTTCTGAGCTTAGCACTTTAGGACACTATTTGTCCCAAAACTTCTGTGTGTGTTGGTATTTTGCCTGCATGTATATCTGTGTGAACCTGAAACTGGAGTTGCAGACAGTTGTGAGCTGCCTCATGGATGCTGGGAACTGAACTCTGATCCTCTGCAAAAGCAGCAAGTGCTCTTAACCACTGATCCATTTCTTTGTCTCTGAAAACTGGTAACTTTTCTTTTTTAAGATTTTATTTATTTATTATGTATTCAGTCTTCTGCCTGCATACCAGCAGAGGACACCAGATTTCATTCAAGGTGGTTGTGAGCCTCCATGTGGCTGCTGGGAATTGAACTCAGGACCTCTGGAAGAACAGTCAGTGTTCTTAACTGCTGAGTCATCTCTCCAGCCCAACTAGTAACTTTTAATGTGTGTTCCATGCAATATTTGAAATGTGCTTGTAGTTGTTACATACTTTCCTTCATAGGAAGTTCAAATGCAACCAGAGTACTGTGCTGTTACCCTGTTCATGGTGGTGCTCAGAATTGACTGTCCCCAATAAGGCATAGAGGGTGGCCTGCTTATATGTAGCCTCTTGGCACAACTTGCCAAGTGTCACTAGTTAAAGTGAACTGTGGTGGCACATGCCTTTAATCCCAGCACTTGGGAGACAGAGGTAGACAAATCTCTGAGTTTGAGACCAGTCTGGTCTACAGAGTAGGTTCTAGGACAACAAGGACTATGTAGAGAAACACTGTCTGAAAAAAGCAATAGTAGTAGTAGTAGTAGTAACAACAATAATAAAAATGTAAATGCTTGGGGTCCCAATGAACCTTGATAAGTCTTGGGAACAGAAAGGATACAGAAAACACTGAGGCTAGGCGTGCAGCTGCCTCAGTGTTTCCAGAAGATAGCTCCAGGGACAATTTCAGTACATAAGCTGATGGGCTGTCCTTGGAGCTCCCTCTGTCTTCCACACTTGGTTTCCATCATAGCTACTTTGCTTTCTAACACAGTGAATGGAGGGCCACATTCACCAGCATTTTGATAAACACCCAGAAAATAGTTGAAATTGGGCATAGGTGCCACCCTTCCCACAACTTTTCCACCTACCCCTTACTGGGCAGGTGTGAATTTAGCCAGGTTGGGAAGCTCACAATCAGGAAAGAAAGGGTACTAGCTGCACCAAGGTGCACCACTACAAGGACTTCCACACCTCAGACGCTCTCAGCTCTGTTACAGCTTCTGCTTGGGAGGGCTGTATTAGCATGCTTGAAGCAGATAGAGGCTTAGAGAAACTGGACTAGGCTTAGTGGAGCTGGTAGGCAGAGGAGAAACCATAGCTTCATGGCTGTGGACACTGACTTGCTTGGACATGTCCTGCAGCCCTTGGCCCTGGTGCATGGTCATGTATCCTTTCATAATGGAACAGACAGGATGGTGTACTAAGGTGAGGAAAACTGGGCTTTCTGTCCCATGCTATCCTTCTCAGGGACAGGCTGTGCATGTCAAGAGCAGACCTGGATTCTAACACCTAAGGAGGGCAGGATGTGAGGGTGGGAATGAGAATGAGTGGTATTCTACCTCCCTCATCTGGTGCCTTCATGGCCTCTCTTTTGTTTTTAGTCTCATTCTGCGTTTTTCCGGATTGGACAGATGAACAATGTGGAGCTGGACGATGAGCTTCTGGACCCAGTGAGTGATGTGATGTTCCCTATTCCTACTGAGCTGGCCTTAGTGAAGGAAAGTGGAAGGGTAGCATGGTCAGCAGATAGCAGGACTCCCACACAGAATATGGATGTGATCTCCGAGGCCAAGTGAACAGCAGCTTCAGGTGTGAAGAGGTGGGCAGAAGCACTGTGTCAGGGAGGCCATGCAGCACAGAGGCCTTTGGCAGGAGTCAGCTTAGTGTGAAGATGTCCAGGTGAGATGGGTCTCAGAGGGATGAGGAAGCAGTCCTTAGGCATGAAGACTGACCATGGGATGGATTCTGGCATCCCCAAAACAAGTTTTCCAGGGACTAGGAGAGCATAGTGCTCTTGAGGACCAGAGCTCAGATCCCAATGTCCATGTCAAGTAGCCCACAACTGCCTGTACTTCCAGCTCCTGGGGATCCAGCACCCTCTTTTGGCCTTCGTAAGTACCTGTACTCACATGGACATGGCAACACACAGGCACACACATGCATACACATAATAAAGAATAAATCTTGAAAAAACAAACATGGGAATGTTTCCTGAGCCACCTCTCTCCCCTGGAATCTGCTTGTCTTTGGTGCTGCCTTCTGTTGTTTTACTTGTCCCCATGGGCAGTGATGCCTGCGAATGTAGCTGTCCTCAAGGCCAGAGGCATTGGCTCCCCCTGGAACAGAGTTACAGGCTTCTCTAAGCCGTATGATATGAATACCCAGAAACCAAACTTGGGTCTTCTGCTAGAGCAAACACAACCTCTGATCATTTTTCCAGACCCCTATTTTATCTTCTTTAGTGCTTTTGTTATTTTATACTTGGGGATAGAACCTAAAGCCTGTGTCTGCTAGGCAAGTCCTCTGTCACTTAGCTGCCTCTGTTCTTATTGTTGTTTACTCATTTATTTGATTGCTACATAACCCAAGTTGACCCTGAATTTCCAATACTCTTGATTCTGCTTCCTAGGTACTAGTTTTTGGTGTGCTCCACCACACCCAGCTTTGTTGAGTATTTATAACCCCTTTTCTGTGTTTATAAGACAGTCTGTGGCCTGGCAGTGATGACACATGCCTTTAATCCCAGCACTTGGGAGGCAGAAGCAGGTAGATCTGTGAGTTCAAGAACATCCAGGACTACACAGAGAAACCCAGTCTCAAAAAAAAAAAAAAAAAAAAAACAAACTATATCCATGTGTCTGTCTATAAATTAAAGAAGGGTAGTCTGTGGACCTTTGTTCTGACATAGAACATCAGTTGATTTTTAGGATGTTAAACTAACGTTGTACTCCTGAAATAAACATATGGTGTTTGCAGGGCCCCACTGGAGGATTTTTGTGTCCACATTTCATGGGATGGTAGTTTGTAGGTTTCTTGTGACTTCCCAGTCTTGGGTGTCAGATCATGCTGAACTATGGGATTTGAGACTCAGCCCCTTTTCTTCTTGTTTCTATTCTTAAAGAGCTTGGGACTGCTTTTTTTCTCATACAGGAAGTGGACCCTCCTCACACCTTCCCCAAGGAGATTCCACACAATGAGAAGCTCCTCTCCCTCAAGTATGAGGTGGGTTCCCCATCCCTTCTGACTGAGTTCAAGCCCTACCCTTTCCAGCCCTCTTCCCTGTCGCCTGGCTCTACTTGCACTCTGGTCCCTGGGTCAGTAATCAAGTTCCTTGTGCTCTGGTCTGGTCTGTGCAGAGCCTGGACTATGACAATAGCGAGAACCAGCTCTTTCTGGAAGAGGAGAGACGAATCAACCACACGGTGAGCAGGTTGTGCTTGTGGCTTGTTTGCCTGGGTGCTGGCATATTGGGCCAGGTGGTATCCTTGTTCTATCCTCCCCTCTTTTCTACCCCGAGCCTCTGAGTTCTGCTGCCACAGTTTCATGGTTTGTGTGTGGAGGGTGGGCTCTGAACATGTGACACCTGGCCCCAGATACTGGAAACTGTAAGGGAGGACTAAAATCATCGTGGCCAATAAAGCTGTTCTGCAGATGGCAGACAGTGCCTCAAATGTTAGTAGCTAGTGGTGAATTTGTAGGATATTATTTACCTCTTTGTGACTTCCTGTGGCCCTCAGTGGTCATTGAAACATTTGCTGGAGGCTGTTGTTAGTAGCTTTGGGCTGAGAGTTGAACTTTGTACTATGTGTGGTAGCAGCCTTGAATCTGCCAACACCAGAGCAGTGCACAGCAAGTGCCTAGCTGCAGTGCCTGCCTTTGACTGCACCATGTTTCCCATCCTTATCTAGGCTTTCCGGACGGTGGAGATCAAACGATGGGTTATCTGTGCCCTCATTGGAATCCTGACAGGCCTGGTAGCCTGCTTCATTGACATTGTAGTGGAGAACCTGGCGGGCCTCAAGTACAAAGTCATCAAGGACAGTATCCTCCAGAGACACTCAGCATGGGGCACACGGGGTGAGAGTTCAGTAGCAGAACCCAAGCATGTGCCTTCACAGGCAGGCAGTAAAGAATAGAGCAGGCCTGGCTCCATAGAGACCACCCTCTACCATACACACACACAGCTCAGCATATGGGTGGTGTAGTCATAGTCAGGCTATGAGGTATCTCCAAGTTGTCTACTTAGTACTGTGGCCTGCTAGCTATTCAGTAGTTGTGCTGGCCCAGGTCATGAGATGATCTGGGCCAGATAGACTGGCCATAATAGTGAGACAAGCAGGGCAGGTGTGTGTTCCAGTATAGCAGTGCCTGTCCTTGACAATCCCTGAGACATCGACAAGTTCACAGAGAAGGGCGGCCTGTCCTTCTCCCTCCTGCTGTGGGCCACGCTGAACTCTGCCTTCGTGCTCGTGGGGTCTGTGATTGTGGCCTTCATAGAGGTAAAGCTGCTGTGTGTGCCTCAGTGAATGTATGAGCCCCTCTAGCTTACCTACCCTGGGCCCTGTTAGCTTGTGAGGATGGAGGCTTTCTGCCAAAGACAACCACAGTATGGTACGGATGGGAAATACTCGGTCAGAACAGAAAAGACACTAGGGCTTCCTCAGCTTGACTCCTAGTGGTACTATATTTAACCTCGTAGTACAACCCACACCTCATCCCTTGGCTACCCAGTTCATACCCAGACCATAGATATACCATATCTACCCCATACTCACATATAGTTAGAGCTAGGTTTTTTAGGGCCTTTACATAGCTATACAATGAGGTATTCTAGGGCCTGCAAGTTCTAGGAGTTCAGACAACTCATGCAAGTATCCAAGCAGAGGGGCAGCAGGACCAGTCATTCCCCAAGGAGACTGTATTCCCATCCCACAGATAGCCCTTCCAAAATGCATCTTTATTCCAAGGCTTCCAGAAGTCCTCCCTTCTCTAGGTCCCTCTATGTTCCTTTTCCTTTCGGTGGAGTCATAAAAGAAGGAATGGACAGCATCCAGAACCTCTATGTGGCTATAGAGCAGCTATCCCATATATTAGGAACGTCTAGTTCCTACTTGGTACATGATGAGTGTCTTGTCCATGCTCCCCTAACTCACTTGGGGATACGTGACCACCAGACTCTATCCTTGGCCTTTACATATGCCCACCAGGTTTTCTCTTAGGGCTCACTCCATTCTGGGCTGGGGTAAGGAAGGACCTCTGCTTCCCTGACATGCAGCACTTCTCCACACCTGCCCCCCCCCCCCATGTTTCTTGTGGTTGTAGAGGCTGCATCCCCTTACTCCACCTGCTCAGTGGCACCTCTGTCTTTCCAGCCAGTTGCTGCTGGCAGCGGAATCCCCCAGATCAAGTGCTTTCTCAATGGGGTGAAGATCCCTCACGTGGTGCGACTTAAGGTGAGGTGTGATATGGAGCAGGGCATGGGATTTCTGCTGGTTTAATTAGGTCTGTCTTTGCTTGATCCATCACACCTGGTACAAGCTGTGTGCACACCAGCTGTTGTGTGTGCTCACAGCAACAGATTGTACATCTGAAAGTAGCAAAAACTGGTCTTTGTCTTCAGTAAGTAGTGCATGCAGTCACGGAGTACATGTATGTAACTTAGAGTCCTAAGTTACATATGGCCCTGAGTATTTCAGAGCCAGAGGAACTAAGCTAGGGTGGGAGGTGGCCTGCTTCCCCCCCCCCTTTTTTTTTGGTTTTTCAAGACAGGGTTGGCTTTGGAGGCTGTCCTAGAACTAGCTCTTGTAGACCAGGCTGGTCTCGAACTCACAGAGATCCACCTGCCTCTGCCTCCCAAGTACTGGCATTAAAGGCGTGTGTCACCAACACCCGCTTCTTTCCTTACGTTCAAAGTTTCCTCATATTGTGTAATATTACCAGCATCCTAATGCCACAGAGGCTAAGCAGTTGTCCACACAGTCTGCTTATTATTGGTTGTTTTTTGCATGACTAGCCTTTCTGCCTGAGGCTGGCCAGATACTGCCTCCTGTCCCTATCTCAAAAGACAGGTGAGCATTGGCCTCCTTTGATGTACTCCTTGTCTGATACTCCATGGCCTCTCTGGAGTGCTCCCAGGCCTAGTGCCCTATATCCAAGGAAAGGCAGTTTGTTTACACTCTTAAAGCAAAAGACCTGTGCTGCTGCTCTCCTATAGAATAGGGTAGACATGATGATGCTTCTGGACATAGCACTGACTGTTACCCATACTAGACTTTGTGGAACACTCTAGAACATTTTGCTAAATGCCTTTGGCTAGCAGACTAGGTGTAGGAGGCTTCCTCAGAACCTGCACTGAACATGATGTCCTTCCCAGTGGCCCCTTCATCCCTGCACAAGGGGCCTTGTATCAGGGGAGGCATGTATAAGTTGTTATGTTTTTATTGTTAATGGGCCTAGATGACAGAGTTTGAGTTCTGCTCATCCTTGACTGCCTTGAGCACCCATCAGGCTCATGCTATTCAGGGGAGTCACAGTCCCTCAGCCCTCACCTTCATGGTTTCTGACCTGAAGTGTGGAGGAATACTGGGGTGTCCATGGAGTGGGTACTAAAGTCTCCAGGGGAAACACCTGTATGTTCATGAGATGGAGGTCGTGCTGTCAGTCCCAGCTAGTAGTTGTCTCTTTGATGAAGCTGTGCTGGGCCTAGAGCAAAGGCTTAATTGTAGGCAGGCTTGAGCTCCTCCCTCAGAACCCTCTAGGGACATTGGCACTAGATCCCCCAATGGGGTGTGGAACAGGAGCCCTGGGCGCTGCCCTAATATTTGTGGTGAGTGGATGGTGAATGTTAGTTCTCGTCTGAGCACTCATCAGTGGTGCTGGCTTTTCTTGAGCCCCTGAGGCTCAGACATGTGTACGGCATGTTTATTCAAACTCTGCATCTTCCTTGTTTCAGACGCTGGTGATCAAGGTGTCCGGTGTGATTCTGTCTGTGGTAGGAGGATTAGCTGTGGGAAAGGTAACAACAGAATGAGTGATACTGGTCCCTCCTGAGTCTGAGTTTCTGTCTTTGTGGGGACACCAAGACCCAAGCATGGTCTCTGAGTACTGATTGCTTTGTGCTCCCAGGAAGGGCCAATGATCCACTCGGGTTCAGTGATCGCTGCTGGGATTTCACAGGGAAGGTCAACATCACTCAAGCGAGATTTCAAGGTGAGTCCTTCCATACACACATGTGAACTGGGGAGTCATGAGTGTGTCTCAGCTGGTCTTCTGCCTATGCAGTTCTCTAGATCTCTGGGTCTCCCTCAACATCCAGCTCCTGTGCCCACTGCTGACTCTACGGACAACCTGGCCTGCTCCCAGTCCAGGTGGTTACAGACCATGTGGCTTCTCCATGGTCAATCCCTAGGATGCTGGTGTTAGATGCTAGTGTGATTATGTTGAAAAGGATCTAAAGCTCTGACCAGCTTCTCGGAGGAATAGTCACTTGAGGGAGGTCAGAGCTTTAAATGGCTACTCAGATGCTTAGTACAATTTTGTCACATTTCTCACTGTTAACAGCAATAAGATGGACATTATGCTAAACTTCTATGTTGATAAGTCTACCGGTCTTGTGAAACAGTCACTGTGTAACCCAGGCCGGCCTTGAACTTAGGATTCTGGCTCAAGGCTTCTGGGAGCTGAGATGCCAAGGATGTACCACCAAGCCTGGCTGAACAATCCTTTGTAAAATCAAGAATAAGATTAGATTTTTCCACTCATTGGATTTTCTCCAGTTACTAAGATAGAGCTCGAACAAGAAGCTTGCATGTGTGGAGAAGTTGGGTCACTGTCACAAGTGGAATCCTGTGGTTATGTTCTCAGCTGTGGGTACATGGGCACCCCCAGCCTTCCTGTTTTCTTCACTGTCTGTCATATTGTTCTCTGAATCCAGTGGCTACTGCTACGATTATAATGTTGTGATTATTAGAAAAAGGCTCCCTGCCTCTTATATCTCTTCTTTGGTCCCTTTGGTGGGACCTGTTTCCAACATTCCTTCCTGTGATAGGTGACCCTTCAGAGCCTCCCTCATACCCTCCATCTTTTTCTTTCAGATCTTTGAGTACTTCCGCAGAGACACAGAGAAGCGGGACTTTGTCTCAGCTGGAGCTGCAGCAGGAGTGTCTGCTGCATTTGGAGCCCCTGTAGGTAAGGAGGAGCCAGTTCCCTGTCATCTCTGACTATGTCCTTGGGTGCTTCATAGTTGGCCAGGATAGAGAAGCAGGTCTTTATTGTAGGCATAGTTCTGATGTTTGCAGACAAGTGCCAGGCGAGGGTATGGGCAGTGCCTTACAGCCACCAGCTGTGGCCTGGTACCACCTAGCAGTTTCCCTGTGTCATGTCTTAATCCCCTGGGGCCTCTGTTGGGCATTGGCAGTGAGTAGACTGCCCTATGGCTTAGGTGGCACTTTTGTCCTGCCATTTGCCTTCTAGGTGGGGTCCTGTTCAGCCTGGAGGAAGGTGCGTCCTTCTGGAATCAGTTCCTGACGTGGAGAATTGTAAGTACCTGAGGAAGGCGATCATGCTTCTCTCTCCCTTGAGAACTCTTCCTTTTGTATTATAGAATCCCGCAGTGGGTCCAGTAGCTCTAACCCTTTGCCAGGTGTTCTTGGTGCTGGTTGCCTCAGACACACTACCTTCTCTTATACCCTTCACTAGCTTGTCTATAGAGCAGCAACGCCACCTTTGCCCAGCCAAGCAGTAGACCCAGCCCCACTTGGCTCCAGCCCCTTTGTCTTAGATGAGGTATCCAGACACACAACTTTCCAAATGACCACAAGTCCCAGTCTCCATATCTGGCTCTGGCACTCAGATGAAAGTATTCTATATATGGAGCCTAGATGGGCCAAATGTGGCTTTGAGGGTTTTGGGTGGGCCAGGTAGAACTCTGAGGACATTGAGTACTGAGTGGGCTGGGCTGGGCTGGACAGGGCTCTGAGGGTGCTGGGTGCATCAGGCAGGTCTCTAAGGCTCTGGTTTCTCTCTGCCACAGTTCTTTGCTTCCATGATTTCCACCTTTACACTGAATTTTGTTCTGAGCATCTACCATGGAAACATGTGGGACCTGTCCAGCCCAGGCCTCATAAATTTTGGAAGATTCGACTCAGAGGTAATTTGCCAGCTACATTATCCCACCTTGCCCTTTCTGGTGCCACCTCAGAGCCCTGTTGGTTGAGACTTGAACATGGCTTTGGGAAAATCTAGTTTTGTTTTTTTTTTTTTAAAGATTTATTTATTTACTTACCATATATACAGTGCATGCCAGAAGAGGGCACCAGATCATATTACAGATGGTTGGAGCCACCATGTGGTTGCTGGGAATTGAACTCAGAACCTCTGGAAGTGTTCTCTGGTTCTCTGGTCAGTGCTCTTAACCCCTGAGCCATCTCTCCTCCCGAAAATTTAGTTCTTAGTAAGGATGTTGAATTCTTGTCAGTTCGAGGACCTTGTAGTCCTCTGGGAGTGTGCATAGGGATCTGCTCCCTCAGGGCTTTGAGTGTACCACAGCTACAGTGTGAGATAGCTCCAGTACTAAGTGCCAGGTTGCACAAGCCACCCAAACCAGCTCACCCATGAAGGGCCATAAGGTCTTTTCAAAGAAGACCAATGGAACCTCTTTGATTCTGTACAAAAGTGCTAGAAGACTCGGTGCCTGTAGCTAGAGTTCCTGTAATTTAAGCAGCAACTTCTCAAAACCTTTGCTTTTTCCCCTCTGCACAGAAAATGGCCTACACCATCCATGAGATTCCTGTCTTCATCGCCATGGGTGTGGTGGGTAAGGGCCCTTCCCTGTAGCATGGACCAGAGCGAGCCTGTGTTGGGGAAGATGGATTCCCAGCTCCAGAGTGGTGCTGTGAAGATCTCCACTTTTCACCTCTGTCCTGATAGAGGTCTTATGAAGATGCATGCAGGGGTGGGCAACTCAGAAAGACCCCAGAGCTTTAATTCTACTGTGGCAAAGCTTCAGACCTGGAAGGAGATTCCCTGGGGGGCAAGGGGAACTTTACAACATTTACAGAGTGAGGACTCCTTATCCAAAATACTCAGGGCCTGAAGTGGTTCAGATTCCCCTTTTTTTTCCTCCCAGAATTTTTTTTTTCCTCCCATGCTCAATTCATACTGCTCTGTAAAGAATCTGAGTGGAAGGCAGAGCAGCCTTAGTGGTACGGCCTGGGGAGCCATCTGACAATACACCATCACCAGGGCCTTCCCACTTCTGGGGGCCTCCACTGTCCTCCCTCTGAAGCTAATTTTAGTCTCTTTTCTGGTCACAGGTGGCATTCTTGGAGCTGTGTTCAATGCCTTGAATTACTGGCTAACCATGTTTCGAATCAGGTGAGAAGGAATCCCATTTTTTGTGCCAGATAGACAGTGCAGCCCCACTGGGCGCAGGAAATGGACTAATTGTAGCAGCCTTGTCAGTGAGGATCCTTTTCTGAAAGGTCTACCCAGGTTAGCTCTCAGGGCAGGTCAAGAATGTGTGGCCTTGGAGGAGAGGGACAAGTAAGTGGGAGTGGGGGAGAGGCAGAAGGAGCTTCAGAGGCTGAGTGCTCTTCCCCCGAGAGACATCCCTCAGGTCCTGAGGTCTGTGAAAGTTAGCAGAGAAAATTTGTCACAGAGAGCAAAGCCCTAGGTGAGTTAGCTACTGTCTACCTTCTGCCTAGGGTGCTGACCCTTTTGTTAGAAAAGAAGCAATCAAATTTGGGAAGACACTGAATGTCTTCCTGGTTTTTGCACTGGACTAAGCTGCTGTGGTGGTGTAACAGGATGCATTGTTACTGAGAAGTCTATAGCCATAAGGAGAAAGATAACTCCAGGAGTCTGGGCTGATTGATCATTAAACCTGTGTTGTTTTGCCCTCTCATCAATGGGTTCTGGGTCAGGTTGCCATGGCAACTTCCAGGGGCAGGGCAGGTGAGGCTACTCTTGATCATGCAGCAAAGTCCACCCTGGCTTTGGTCTCTAGGTACATCCACCGACCCTGCCTCCAAGTGATTGAGGCCATGCTGGTGGCTGCTGTCACAGCCACGGTTGCATTCGTCTTGATTTACTCATCTCGAGATTGCCAGCCCCTGCAGGGGAGCTCCATGTCCTACCCGCTCCAGGTAGGCATAGGTCTTGGGCTGGCCTCATGAACACGACCAGCTCTCCTGAATGCTGTTTCTCAGTGTTAACAGTGCTAGTAGGCCTTAGGCTCTATATTGTAGGGTCCCATGGTAATCTGAAGCTGTTTTTCAGGTGCCTGGGGAATGAGTGGTGATACTAAACTGATCTCACCATAGTCATTTCCAGACACCTCCTGGAGAGAGTTTTAGAATCGGGCTTGGTTTAGATTAGAGAAGTACATATCTGTAACTGTACAGAAACCTTATAGGGAGGGATACTTGTAGCAGCTCATAAGAGCCTGTTAGGCCAACAAATGGTGTGTCCCTCCATGTAGTAAATGGCACTCATCTGAGAGTCTGGTTCCCAGGGCCATTGTCCAACTGTTGATTCTGAGGCATTACTCATAAAGCTCCTAGGTTCCTGTTTATTCTGGGTAGCAGGGACAGATGGATCTCCATCTCCAGAGAGATGGTCCTGCCATTGAAGCCGTGGCTGAATTTATAGTTAGGCTGTGTTCTAAGCCCAGATCCTGTCTGGTGCTCTCCAGACTCAGTACGTGAGCACTCAGCAGCAGCACAGAATCCTCCCAGTGGCCATCTCTCCCTCTGTCTTTTCTCTCATCTCCACAGCTCTTCTGTGCAGATGGCGAGTACAACTCCATGGCTGCAGCCTTCTTTAACACCCCGGAGAAGAGTGTTGTCAGCCTGTTCCATGATCCACCAGGTATGTGCAGTCAGCATGGCTGGGACTTAAAGACAGTGGGCAAATTCTTGGCCCAGAGGTCACTGCCCTGAGCTGAGGCATCACCTCTGGTATGGTGAGGTGTACTGGAATTCAGGAACCAACATTGCAGAGTTGGGAACATGGGGTTGTATGGTTCTGTAGGGTACCTGGTGGCCAAGCACCTGGAAAGGAACTGACTGGGCTCTCCATCTTCTTTCTTCCTAAGGATAGTCATCTGAGTCACCTCTGTCTCTCTCTCAAGAAGAAAACCTAGCCTGGTGATTCCATGCCCAGGCCTTTCTGGGCTCAGCCAAGCCCTACAGCCATGCCCAAGCAGAGCTGAGCAGCCTTAGGCCTGCATCTCAGACTCCTCTCCTTGAGTTTTTTTAGTTCACATTCTGTTGCTGTCAGTGGTAAAATAGTGACCAAACCAACTTATGAAGGAATGGTTTTATTTAGCTTACAGATTACAGTCCATCTTTGAGGGAAGCTAAGGCAGGAACTGAATCAAAGACCATGGAGGAGCACTGCTTTTTGCTTGTTCAGCTCCCTTCCTCATACAGGCCTGGCCCACACACCCAGGGATAGCACTGCCTACAGTATGTTGGATCCTCCCACATCAATTAGCAATCAAGAAAATGCTCCCACAGACATGCCCACAGGCCAATCTGATAGAGGCAGTTCCTTAGTTCCCTCTTCACAAATGTATCAAGTTGGCAACTGAAGTTAACCATGCCATCCACCCTACCCAGGGGGACAAGTATTTACAATTGTTTCCTGGATAAGGTTACTGGGGACTTCCCTGTGTGCAGGGCTGTCCATAGGAAAGGATTATGAAAGTTAATGGATAAATTTGGCACAGAATAAGCCAATGGCCTTCCACACATAGATCTCTGCCCTTACTGACCTGCCCTGTTCACCTCAGTAATCTGTGCCATGGTGCTCTTAGCCATACAGATTGATGACGCTTTCCCCCACTCTGGCTTTCACATAGGCCACTGTGGTTCTTTGTTCTTCTCTATTTGGTCTTATTTCTCTGGTTTCTCACCCACAAATATAACCTCAGCATTTGTCTAGAAAAGACATACCATCCAGGTCTTGGAGTAGTTAGGAGGCCCAATAGGACATGTCTTGGTCACCTCTCACCTCTGGTGTTTTCCCTGAACTGCTGTTACAGGGCTCCCAGGTTCAGACCTTGCTCAGGCTCAGGGAAGGTGTCCTAGTGCAGCTGCCTTATGTGAAGTCACACCAGTTGTGAGTCCAGCTGAGTTGGAAGTCTGCTGCTGCTCTCAGGAACATGGGCTTCCTCTTTCTCCCAGACGAGGGCCTCCCCATGGGGCAGGGCATGGCAAGCTGTTGTGGGGAGTTTGGTGCTGACGTGGGGCCTGATGGACCCTTGCTGTACTTCTCACCATCACTTCTGACTCTGGGGACCCACCCTTCACCTGGAGCAGCTGAGGATGCAGAGCTTTCTGGGGACCACTGGGAATGGGCTATGGTGGCCTGGTTCTCAGGGTGGAAGCACATGGTAGGCAGGACATCCCTGTGCAGGCTTGAGTTCCAACTACAGCTCAATGGCCTTCCTTTTCCCTAGGCTCCTACAATCCTATGACACTAGGCCTGTTCACCCTGGTCTACTTCTTCCTGGCCTGCTGGACCTATGGCCTCACAGTATCTGCTGGCGTCTTCATCCCATCTCTGCTCATTGGGGCTGCCTGGGGTCGACTCTTTGGCATCTCCCTGTCCTACCTCACAGGGGCAGCGGTGAGTTGGGGGAGGCATGCCAGAGCTCCACTGCTCAAATGTTCTGGTGACCCCAGAGGCCACAACAGGGGAGATCAGGGTACCTAGTGCAGGTAGACAAAAGTTCTAACACTATCAGGTAGCCATATCACAGAACTGTGGAGACACGTTGGGGAGATGAGAGAGAATATAACAAAAGGGAAATGAGCCCAGGTCCATCTAGCACTGACCTGCATGTAGGTCTCTTAGCTCTTCCTGTCAGCAACTGCTAGTGGAACTTGGGGTTTTAATCTGTGTGTGTTTTCTCACTTAAATCATGTGAATAAGGTGGACAAATTACAGAAGGGATAACAACAGGAAGCCTATACCTACCCCTCCCTTGTCCTCAGGCTCAGGAATCTGTCTAGATCTCCTTTGGTTGAGTTCTGTCTTCTGAGATGTGCTTCGTAAGAATGATTGCTTTGAACAGAAACAGTTCAGTGACATTTATTAAATGCTTAGCATTGTTAAACCCTCACTGCCAGCTCCAGAGCTCCTTCTCCACTTAGATAGGAACCTTGTTGCTATTCACAGTTGCTCCCATTTCCCTTCCCCTGTCTAATGGCCTCTAGCTTCCTTGCTGTCTCTGGGCTCATCTGTTGGCAACATTTCCTAGGGCACACAGTGTACACCCTCATATGTCTCTCTGGTCTCCAACTGAGCATGATGTCTGTTTGGTTCATCTCTGTTGTAACATGTCCTAGAATCTTTTTTTACGCAGCTGGGTGATCCAATGTGTCTGCATTGGCAGTGGCACCTTGTGTATACTTTTGCCCTGCTGTCTTCCTTCATGTAGGTTCCTCAGCACAAAGCACGTACAGCCTTCTGAATTCCTGGGTGTGGGCAGGTGGTAGTAGGTAGAGTTTGTATAGCTGTCCCTGTACAAGGCACACCTAGCTAGAGTGTTAACACACAGGTTGTAACAGAGAGCACTGGAGTAGAGTGTTCTACATGTGAGCCATGAAATCACTCCTGTATGTGGATCAGTAGCCCAATTTATAGCATCTTCATTGGTATGCTCTGGCAGATTTGGGGAAGGATTGCCACTGCTACTGATATTCAGCCATGTTGCTTCCCACAGATCTGGGCAGACCCGGGTAAATATGCCCTGATGGGAGCCGCTGCTCAGCTTGGTAAGCCCCAGCTCTTGCCCTGTTTGGTGAATGGGGCTCACTTGTACCCTGCCCACCCATTATGAGTTCCACCAAGGTTGGCCTTTGCCATTCATGTGAACAAAATAGAAAGTGAGGCAGGTGAGGTCATCAGACCCATAGCATGGCCAGATGGCAATAGTCAGGGCCCAGCAGTAACCGCCCTTGCTTCTGGGGTCTGGAAAGATGCGTGGGTAAAATGACTGTAGACATAGCAGAGCTAGGGATCCTGTGTTTAGAGGGATAGGGGCTTATGACTGCTTCCACAGGTGGGATCGTGAGAATGACTCTTAGCCTGACAGTCATCATGATGGAGGCTACCAGCAATGTGACCTATGGCTTTCCCATCATGCTGGTGCTGATGACTGCTAAGATTGTGGGTGATGTCTTCATTGAGGTATGCAGCATGAGAGGGATGTCCTCTGCTTACTCTGGATACTGACCTTGTAGCCTGACACTGGGGTTTGAGGGGCCTGCAGAGCTGCACAAGAAAGAGGGCCCATTGAGCCACACCCATATGTCCTTCTGGAATGGGGCAGTGGTGGGGCCCTGAGGGAGGCAAGGTGCCTTAAGGACCCCTGGGCAGTGTCCTGAAACATGACTCTGTACCCAGGGCCTCTATGACATGCACATCCAACTGCAAAGTGTTCCCTTCCTGCACTGGGAGGCCCCGGTCACCTCACACTCGCTCACTGCCAGGTATGGCCAGCTGGCCTGCTAAGCTCTCAGGTTCCTGGGTACTGTGGGTGGATGTGTACGGGGAAAACACTGAATGCCTGTGGAGAGCCCAGGTACCAGTGTTCCCACTGTAGCTGGCCCATGACTGGTCTCCCAGTGCCTGGCTAAGTTTATAGCATGGAAATGGGGTTCTTGGGGTCCCAAGTCTGACAACTTCATGTCTGCCAAGTATTAACATGATACAAGAGTTCTTAAGGAAGTACCTTGACAGTATGAGGTATGAGTGTCACTGAGATGGTATCCTTGGGTTGGGCCTCTTGGCAGGGAAGTAATGAGCACACCTGTGACCTGCCTGAGACGGAAAGAGAAGGTTGGCGTCATCGTGGACGTCCTAAGTGACACAACATCCAATCACAATGGGTTCCCTGTGGTGGAGGATGTGGGAGACACTCAGGTACTGTGAGCACCTTTCTGAGTATAAGTTTTTTGTGCCTGTGAGCAATATATATATATATTGGGGAAGTTCATCATGCAGTTCACCTGAACACGATTCCTTTTTAAAAAAAAAAAATATATTTTTATCCTATTTATGTGTTTTGCCTGCATGTATACCACCTGCATACCTGGTGCCTGCAGAAATGGGCATTGGATCCCCTTGGAATCGATATTACAGATGTTTGTGAGCTACCCAGTGGGTGCTTAGAATCAAGCCAAGGACCTCTGCAAGAGCAACAAGTGCTCTTAACCACTGATCCATTTCTCCAGCCCATGAACAGGAAATCCTGTGTTGCATATAAAGTAAAATCCTTCTCTTAGCTGGCCTGTCCCCACAGTACAGACCTTGTGTAGTTCTGACTGGACTGGACTTGTCGGTTATGGTGTTGTGATGTCTTTCAGGAGCTGCCAATGAGATATGAGCCCAGCTAATGTTTACCCCCTTGCCCAATTCTTATTCTGTAGGGATGTGTTGAACATTAGCCTGGTGGCTTGAAAGAAATGTGATTAACAGACTTGGCTTATGTCTTGATCCTGTTGATTCCATTCTCAGCAACTGGCTTCCATGCTCTGCAGACTGGGTTATCCCTGTCTCAGATACCTTAGGGATTAGCAGGAATGTGTGTGAGAGATGTCCACTTCAAGGCCTGTGCTTAGGGGTGACTATTAAACAGCAACCATGGGCCAGTGGGGAATCTGGCCAGATTTTCCCACTGCAATCTCAAGGCCTCTCTTTCTTCTCCTGTAGCCAGCCAGGCTCCAAGGCTTGATCTTGCGCTCCCAGCTCATCGTGCTCCTGAAGCACAAGGTATGCCCAGCAGTCCATGGGTGGGAGTGTCCTGGGCACTGTCCTTCACAGTGGCAGATACCACAACTGGCTGCTGCCTGCAGGTATTTGTGGAAAGGTCCAACATGGGTCTGGTGCAGCGGCGGCTGAAGCTGAAGGACTTCCGTGATGCCTACCCTCGCTTCCCTCCAATCCAGTCCATACATGTATCCCAGGATGAGCGGGAGTGCACTATGGACCTTTCTGAATTCATGAACCCCTCTCCCTACACAGTGCCCCAGGTACTTATTGACCCAAAGGAGTTGGGGGCAGGCCTGGGTATGGATGACCTCCAGGACCCAAGCTAGATGCCTTATACACTTTGAAACGGTGATAAGGAGCTTCTGGAGTCTTGTGGAATAACTGCTGCCAGGTGGAGAGGAGGCCTTTAGGGATGGTGCAAGTGGGGCTTGCTGCTTGAGATGGACCATCTTACCAAAGCCTGGGAGAATTTGGTAGTCATGCATGGAGTCATGCATGGAGGGGAAGGGACAGCTCAGGACCCTGGAAATGCCTGGTTTGAGAGTTGAATCTCTACAGTGGGGTGAAGTGGACTAAAGGCAATTGACTACCTTGCAGGAGGCATCTCTTCCTCGAGTGTTCAAGTTGTTCCGGGCTCTGGGCTTGAGGCACCTGGTGGTAGTAGACAACCACAATCAGGTGAGGCTGCTCACTGTCCTGCTAGGTTGTGGGTGGACATTGGATCTTCTCTTGGGACCTAGCCTGTTGCTGCACACCTGCTTAGCACTGGTGTGTAGAGTATGCCATCATATGGAGCAGAAGTGCTCTGGTGTTGTTCCTGCAGGTGGTCGGCCTGGTGACCAGGAAGGACCTGGCAAGATACCGCCTAGGGAAGGGAGGCCTTGAAGAGCTCTCGCTGGCCCAGACGTGAGGGTTGGCTCTACCCTTGTGCAGTGGTACCCGAGCCCCTCTGCACCTCCTCCCAGGGTCCCTGGTCTCAGCCAAAGCCTTGCCCCTCTGGGCAGTGCAACAGCAGGAGCAAATGTCCTCCCTGGGCCTGACTGGTGTGGGGGCCAGACCCTTGTTCTTGGGCAGTTGGTTTACATCATCAGCACTTTCCTTGTTCCCTGACCCCTCCACACCTTGGACTTGCCCTTCTCCTGGGTTCCTTCTCCAAGGATGAAATGTGTGCATTTGCACCCCTTGTGGCTCACTTCTCAGAGCCAGTAGAAGTTGTTGTTGTTGTTGTTGTTGTTGGTGGTGGTGGTGGTGGTGGTGGTG